ATATATATATTTATATATACTTATATCATTCTCTATCTCGGTGTTCTATCTCGATGTCAATTCCGCCATCAATTCGTATAGCCATTACCAAATTTCAGTCTTTGGAAATCATACTAAATACGATGCCCTATGAATTCAATTGCGTGCCTTGTTGCACTACCGTACTTTTCACCTCATGTTATGTGGAGAGTGTACTGTCTGTTTATATAGTGTCGATATGGTAGACCAATGTCTTTGTAGTGGAGTGTACTTTCCTGCACCACAGGAAGTGGACTCAGGCGCAAAGGTGCCGACGGATTGTGTGAACCATATCTACGAATGGGCCATGTCGTGCGCATATCAAATCCTAAAAACCCTAAACCCGTAAAGTCATGCGCTGCTTTCTAGCACATCAGCTATAAACCCTAGGACCCTAACCCTAGACCCTAAAACCCTTTCTAAAACCAGTGGCCTCGGAACCATCACGTGTGTCTCTGTGGCGGAGATACACAACACGGTAAGAGCGACCACTCAAACAACGCAGATTCAATATCGTATCACTCGCCATCTGCGTGCACACCTCCATTCCTGTGTATTGGGATACTCTCATATCAATCCTCCTTGCTGCTGTGCATCTGCGTTCATACCTTCATTCCTGTGTATTGGGATACTCTCATATCAATCCTTCTTGCTGCATATCAATCCTCCTTGCTGCTGTGCATCTGCGTTCATACCTTCATTCCTGTGTATTGATATACTCTCATATCAATCCTCCTTTGTGCTGTGCATCTGCGTTCATACCTTCATTCCTGTGTATTGGGATACTCTCATATCAATCCTCCTTGCTGCTGTGCATCTGCGTCCACACCTTCATTCCTGTGTATGGGGATACTCTCATATCAATCCTCTTTGCTGCTGTGCATGTGGTGTGTGAGTGGTGACTTGCGCATGTGCATTTGGTGTGTGAGTGGTGACTTGCGCATGTGCATGTGGTGTATTAGTGGTGACTTGCGCATGTTCTGTGGTGTGTGAGTGGTGACTTGCGCATGTTCTGTGGTGTGTGAGTGGTGACTTGCGCATGTTCTGTGGTGTGTGAGTGGTGATTTGCGCATGTGCTGTGTTGTAGGTTTGAAGTCACTGCGGATGTCTGTGAATCGCCACATCGCACGCGTGTCAATCGCTATGTCGCTCCACATAGCACACCAATAATAGGCTGATCGTGTATGGCAACTATGTATATGCATTCATTTCCTTGCCTGTACATAAACATCTCTGACATCGTAGTCATCAACCGTGTTCTATAGTCAGTTGAGAATGAAACCGAGCAAGTGCACCCTGTCATCTCAACGTGTGTGTACGTTTTTGGCCAGATTGTACTTTCTTTAAACCCTAAAACCCTAGTCATCTTTCGCTGTACAAATAATGCAGAACAAAAAATATATATATTAATGCCACCACACATAAATATATCTGGTGATACGATTCCGTGGTATACAGTCCATCAAATCTCATCGGCCCTTCATTTTGAGAGCTGACTCCTTGTCACAGACGTTAAGAGATGCGATGGTATTGCATGACCATCACCTTAGCCTCACTCGCCTCTCATTGCAACACCCTTCTCACACACCCTAAAACCCTAAAACCCTAAAACCTTGATACCCGAATACCCTAAAACACACACACTGCCCTTGCAGCGACTGAATTCCGTGCTCTGTTTGAATGCCGAGGGCGACTGCTATGTGTTTGATTTGCCCAACATATCAGCCACACCCACGTCAACTGAGCCAACCAGTGCCATGCGCACACACTCACACCACACAGGCAACAGCCCCAGCGACCACAGCCCAGACCTACAGCCCAGGGACCATGGGGTATGTGCGGTGGAGGGTGGAGGGTTTAGGTTTTTTTAAGGGGAGTTTAGGTTTTTTAGGGGGTTTAGGTATCTATATTGGTTTTCACGCGTTTGCTATATACAATGCCAGGTTTGCAGGGATGGGGTTTAGGATTCTGGTCAAGTGGGACCAGAAGTATCACAACGCCACCTGCTGGTGGCTGGTATGCAGACATGCACAGGCGGCGCATAGAACACACTCACCCAATGTACTGTTGACCCTACAACCTTAAAAACCCTAAAACCCTAAAAACCCTGAAGCAACTGATACCAGGTGACCCCAGGTGCAGTGTTCATGGCTACGCTTCAGACAGCTCTGCGGGTTTGGTTCCGCACAGTGACGTAGTGCGACACCAAGAGCACGCGCAAGCACTACACAGACAGACGATCAACCGTAGCAACCACCCAATACACGCCACACCCACACGCACCCCACACCCTAAAACCCTAGAACCTAACAACTCTAACACCGTAACATCCACCCAACACACACCACACCCACACGCACCCCACACCCCAAAACCCTAGAACCTAACAACCCTAACACCATGACATCCACCCAACACATCACCCAACACACACCACACCCCAAAACCCTAGAACCTAACAACCCTAACACCATGACATCCACCCAACACATCACCCAACACACACCACACCCCAAAACCCTAGAACCTAACAACCCTAACACCCGTAAAACCCTATCACTTAATAACCCTGACCCCCTGCCTGCCAGGACTCACCGTCTCCTTCCGAGTCGTGTGGGATTGAGCTGACGGGCGGGCCATCGCAGCACACGGTACAGCCCACGTACACATACGCTGTGGTCACCAATGCGTCGTGTGTGGCTGTGGGTGACATCGACAACGACGGTCTCAACGAGCTGGTTGTGGGTTAGTGGTCTGTGTGATGTGCCTGGATGGTGGGTGTTGGGTGTGTTAAATATGTGTGCATGTATGTGTAGATACACATTGGTTTTTTATATGCAGCAGAACTTTATGAAGAACTGTTGAGTAAAAATGTACATTGGGTTCTATATGCGTGTATATATGGTTATACATGAATATGTAGATAGTCTCATATACGTATGCTTTGCGGTAGTGACACAACTCAACGCCCAATTTGTACATATGCCCTATGTGCTCTATAGTTGTTGGCGAGTGTTGCTTGTGCAGGATTAACTACGTGGTACTTATACTTGATACTCATAGATGTTACTTATATCTAATAACCATACCTATTGCTTATACCTATTAAACATACCTATTACTTACACCTATTACTTGTATATTTTACATATCACTTACACATATTACTGATACATGCTACTTAGACATGATACATATATATGATATTTATTCCTATTACGTATATATTTTACATATTACTTACACATATTACTTTTACATGCTGACATGATACATATATATGATACTTATACCTATTACGTATATATTTTACTTATTACTTGCACATATTACTTATACATGCTACTTTGACATGATACATGATACATATATATGATACTTATACCTATTACGTATATATTTTACATATTACTTACACATATTACTTGTACAGGCTACTTAGACATGATACATATAATATATGTATATATATATATATATGATACTTATACCTATTACATAAATGTTACTTATATGTGTTACTTGTACATGTACCTATACCTACAACTTATACCTATTACTTATACCTATGACTTATTCCTACTACTTATGCCTATTACTTACACTTATTACTTTTATCTATCACTTATACCCACTACCTATACCTATTACTTGTACCTACCACTTATGCCTATTACTTATACCTATTACTTATACCTTTCACTTATACCTACTACTTATACCTATTCTCTGTACCTATGACTTATTCCTATTACTTATGCCTACTACTTATACCTATTACTTGTACCTATTACTTGTACCTACTACTTATACCTATTACTTGTACCTATTACTTGTACCTACTACTTATACCTATTACTTGTACCTATTACTTGTACCTACTACTTATACCTATTACTTGTACCTATCACTTATACCTACTACTTATACCTATGACTTATTCTTACTACTTATGCTTACTACTTATACTTATTACTTGTACCTATCGTTTATACCTACTACTTATACCTATTACATATTCCTATCGCTTATACAGGAACAACGGATCGGCTGATTGTGTCGTACCGAGTGGAAGGAACGGCGCTGCAGAAACTCAATCGGTGGGAAATGCGAGGGCAAATCACGACCATCGACGTCACCACAGGCGCAGACGGAAGAGCTTTCATTGTGATTGGACAACAGGGCTATGGCTACGCAGTCATTGAGGGAGGGCAGAGAGTGCGATATGTGCCGCTGGACACACTTGGAAATGAGGTGGGAGGGGCGTGGGAGATGGTAGCCTTCATATATA